CAGGAAGCTGAGCTTGGGTGGAGAGCACACAGCCTGTTTGAGCTCAGCCTCTGCTATTGGGCGACACGCTGGCTATTCTAAACTTAACTGACTCTCTTTGACCTCGCAGACTCTGAACCTTATCAGTAATCTTTGTGTCCTTGCAGGTGTTCCTACAAACACAGTTCCTAGACGGGACATGCTCTGACCTCTCTTTCCGCCCGCCCCCAATACCACTCGCCTGGCCATATCACTATTACTCTCTTTGCACTTCTCTCAGGTGGGCCTGCTGTTTGCAATTTGGTTTTTCTGCCAACCCAGTTTCCTGAGCTAGGCTACACATTCATCCTGAGCAGGGGCTAGCTCTCGTCTTGTTCAGTGCCTGGACCTAGATGGCCTTCAATAAAAGTCTGTTTATAGGAATGAATACATGATTAGATAAAGATTGCACTGTGGAAGATATCCCATCCCTCCAGGCTAGCTGATCTCCTGCTCGCCATCCCTGCCTCACCCACCTGGGGTTATTACTGCCTGGACCCTGGAGAGATGCCGATTAGAAACAAATTGAGGGGGCGCCTGGGTGGCTCAGTTGGTTAAGCGACTGCCTTCGGCTCAGGTCATGATCCTGGAGTCCCGGGATCGAGTCCCGCATCGGGCTCCCTGCTCGGCAGGGAGTCTGCTTCTCCCTCTGACCCTCCTCCCTCTCATGCTCTCTGTCTCTCATTCTCTCTCTCTCAAAAAAAAAAAAAAAAAAAATCTTAAAAAAAAAAAAAGAAAAGAAACAAATTGAGGTCTCCCCTGTTTAGACTTGGTCTGGCTGCTTCCGTCTTTCGCATTGGAAAGATCATCCCTTTGGGCAATGCCTGTGGTCCGAGCACCTGTTTTGCACCCTCCGCTGTGCAGGTGCCCCTCGAGAACCCTGCAGAATGCGATGTGAAGGGCACGCTCTGAGATTAGTGTCTCTCTTTAGAGCTCCCCATCTTTCTCGTTTGGTGACCCAGTGAGGTTACATTACTCTCCCTGGGTAATATCTTAGAATTTCCGTGGCAAAGACTCCAGTGAGATAAACACACCTGTGTTTTAATTGTGTGTTTGCTTCAAGAACAGCAAGGGAGAAAAGTTTTTGTTTAATGCTCCCAGGGTCAATAATTGGCAAAGGAGAAAAATGATGCTGGAGGTGAGAGTTGCCCGTTGTGTAGTCTCAGTATCCATGCTGAAAAACAAACAAGAATTGCAGCCTGGTTCCACTGTTCCCCCAATTTCTCCAGCCCAGCCCAGATGATCTCTGCATTGCACAGTATTAGATTACTCACAGTAAACTTGTGGTTGGAAGTCAAGGAGTTGGGAAAGAGTGCTTGTACTACATGTGAAAATCCTGATCTCAGACACATTGGGGTCAGGAAGAAAGATGTATTCCCGATGACCAAAGTCAAAGCAGGCTGCAGAAATGCCAGGGAATGCTATTATGAACAGAGAAACCTTGTTTAATTTAATACAGTTTTTGTCTGGCTTAGTTGGAGAACGGTACATGCTACTCAATAAAATACTTATTTAATAGAGATTTTGCCTAGTGATTAAGAGGATGGACTGCAGACCTAATCGCCAGGGTTCAAATCTTGACTATACCTTTTACTAGCTGTGTGATCCTGGGCAATTTATTTAACCTCTCTGTGCCTCCAGTGTCTCATGGAAAATGGGGATTCTCTTAGGGATGTGATAAGGATTTCAACAAATGATATACCTTAAAAAAAACCTTAAAAGAGTGCATGGCACTTAGCAAATACTTAATAATGATCAGGTACTTGTATTATTATTATTTTACTCATGCTTTTTAAAGAATTAAAATATAACACAATTTCCATTTAACACTAGTGAATTTTTCTTGGGTAATGAATTCAGAGACATGCAATACTTTGGTTCCATCACTGCAATTCTGTTAGTTAGGGAGTCAACATCCATTTAAGCAGATCCTCACCACATAGCGGGAATCGAGACTGCAAGTCCACACCTCACCCAATGGTCATCCAACTTGTATGAGGTAAATGTGTACCTGAACATCAATTTACTAGTTTATGAGTCATAATCTACCACCAAATTGAATGGATATGTTTGCTTGGTTCAATCAATTCATTCCCTTCTCTTATGTGGAAACCAAATTAAGATGCTATGGCTGGTTTTTGACCATAGGGAGTTGAGTGATCTCTAGGGCATTTCTTGGAGGGCTGGTGACCTACAGAATTATTTGCATGCACCTGCCACATACCACAACACTTTCCAGGTTCTAGTGAGCTTTATCCTTACACTGGAAAAGAAGCAATAAGGGTTTCTTACTCTCCACCTCTGTCTTTTCTGGATTCCACTTAGCTCCATGCCCCTCAGGTCTGTTTGCCATGGCAATACCCCATCACATGTCACCCCACAGGGCTGTTCTCTCAAATAGGTTTTTATTGCAAGTTGTACTCTGACTAAAACGTCACTTCCTAATAACATCTAAAGGAGGGCCCTTAGTTCCAGTATTTAAATGACCCAGAATCACACTCTGGAATCCTACAACAGGAGAGGAGTGCTTTTTTCTCTTCAAAGAATGTCACTTTCTGACATTTCCTGTCCTGGGGTGGCTGTTCTGGATGTCATCTGACTTTTGGCTTATAGCTCAATGCACTCTCCTTATCACCGTTGTGTCAACTATCATTCTGTTGGTAAACTTAAAAATGCCATTTACTACATAATTTTGGTCAATAAAATGTCAGATAGGCTATAGATTTACTGTATCTTTTAAACTAGTCAATAAGATAAAATCCTCTAAGTCACACCAGAAACACTGTACAGACCTACAAAAGGAAAAAGGGGCAGCAGGTCATTCTTAAGGTAACTTGGGTCTGCTTATTATTCCATTTATATCTATTTCAGCAAACAAAGAAACGTCATCAGCACTGTACCCCCACCTTTTTTGTAAAAAGTACCTTGCTCCAGAAAATTTGTTCCAAAAGGGATGTAGCCAAAATGGGGTTTTAACAATTATCTGTGCCGTAAAGTGTTTCACTTTTGATTAAAACGTATTGCACTTGAGAAATGATTGAACAACTGGTTGGAAGTCACAAAAATATTAACTATAATGAGCTCATTTAAATAGAAACAGACGTGCTATCCCGCTGGTTGTCAAAAGTTTTCAAAGACGGTTTCTCTCGAGTAAGCAGGGTCCTGCAGACTGTGTCCATCTGTCTTCATGAAAGAACATTTTATGTACTACGGAAGGAAATGCTCCTGTGAAAACACCATTTGGAATTATTGATCTCTTGATCACTTGTGGATCTCAGTGGGAAATCAGAACAGCAAGGCTCAGACAGGAATCACCAGTGCCAAGAACATTAAAAAAAATTTTTTTTGGATTAATAGGTGGCTGGAATAAAAATAAAATCATATTTATTAAAGAGGGAACATGTTTCATTCCTCTCTTGAATCACAGAAGGGATTTTTTTTGTTTTGTTTTTTTTAAGTTTTCCCAAAGCCCTCCTTGGTCTTCCCTTAACATAGTGAAAGAAACAGAAAAGAAAACTGTACGGCTTCTGTCTGTGGGTGTGTTCCCACTTCTCAAATCCCTGGCCTCAGCTGCTGGGGAGGCACACAATGAAGCTAAGCGCTCAGTGGGGCTCGAAGACGCACGTTCTACATTCTTCCTTCATTGTGTGTCCCTGGTGAATAACAGGATTCCAGAAAGCACCAGGACTCAAGGGCAATTGTAAGATGTCTAGTGAGACAATATATGCTATGTTGCTACTATTTCCTTAAACCTAGGCCACAGAATTCCAGGGCAGGAAGGGAGCTTAGTATCAAATTTACCTTTTCTTCCTTTTACATAGAAAAAATTAAGGCCCAGAGAAGTGAAATGGGATCTTGTACTTGATGCTCACTTGTTCTTTAGGAGAAATGCCTCATTTTAGTGATGTAGGAGTCTGACTTTGCCAAATAAATAAAATGAAAAGAGGTTGGTTTTAAGACACTTGAAAAGCAACCCCCACACGTTATCTTTCAGCATCTTCTTTGTGGTTATATAGGTAGGTCTCTAGTATCTGGAGGCGCTCATAAATATTTGTGGAATGATTAAGTAGATGAAAGAATGGGCTCTGAATCTCTATGACAAATGACAAGTTCACAAATAGTTGTGACACATGCATGGGAATGTGCAAAATAATGTTACATTTCCAGGGGAAAAGACAAAATATTGGCACCTAACAGTTACAGCTAGGCATGAATGGAGTTTTGAATGTTGCTGGAGGCCTGGAGAGAATGGGAAGCCATGTCTGATTTAAGGTTTCCTGAAATGTTACGGAAGCCTATTATGTAAAAACGGATTCGGTTTCAGGATTAGGTTCTTTCTCAGAACTGTAGTGACCATTGCTCTTCTTCATATTTCCCCTTTTTATTTTGCTTTAGAGGTGCCTATCGAGGGAGGACTAACTGGGCAAACTTTGCTTCATGGTGCTTTTGAGGCATTCGGGAGAAATCCCTGTCCAGGTGCATATATCCGGCTCCTGCTCATCTCCATTGGCCAAGGAAGATGTGCGTCTGGCTTCCTTGCTGATTCTCTGTTGAGACTCCCAGGAGTGATCGCTCGGGTTCCCAGGGCCCGTCCCACGTCATTTCCGTCACTTCCGTCATTTCCGCCAGGTCGGCGCAGAGCTTGGCGGAAGTAGCATGTGAGTAAGAGCGCCACCTGCAGTACGCATAACCCGTGCCTCCATCAGCCCGGACCACTTCCTGGGTGATGTCCACCGGGGGTGTGTGTGCGCACGCGCGAATGCGCACGCGCCTCCTTCTTATCCCGGGTTCTGTTCCCCTCACCTGTTTAAAGACACTTTGATGGCCAATTCTCCTCCCAATCCCGATGATAGTCTAGCTCAAAAAATAAAAGGACTGTCACCTAAAAAGAGTCACAGCTAAGGAGGTGTGGGAAACCAAGCATAGACGCTTTTTTTAAAAAAAAATTAATAATTGGTAGAGAGGAAAGAAATGTTCGGTGACTATATTTTTTTATTGTTTTTTGCTTTTTGGTTTTTGTTTTTTCCGGCTTGGCATCGGGCTGTCTGTGTAATAAGGATGAAATGGGTTTTAGAGGGATGAGGCCCCAACAATGCTTGAGAGGCTGGCTGGGGGAACAGCCTCCAAGGCAGAGCCATTCAACTGCCTTCAGTCATTTCCTATTTTTAATATTAAAGGAATATGGAGAGAAACAGGACAGAACATAGCGTTCTGGGAAACCAGTAATCAAATGGCCTAAAGCTAATGTTTACTTTTTGGAATGTTTTATGAAGGCATTACTTGGAGATGTAAAAAAGAGAGAGAGCACCTAATAATAGCCTTTCAGTGGCGGAAATAGAAAAGCAGCACAGACATGATAATTGAATTTGGTTTGGATGGTCAAAATCTGTGTGATCCTACAGCTGTATTTTCTAAACCATCCGCTTGACTTTTAATACATGTTCCACGTTTTGTTTCCTTTGCCCATTGCTGCATTTGAAAATTGCTAATTACCTTACAAGCCTATTCAATTTTCCTTTGCTACTAATTTTTTCTTTCCCTCTTGCAAAGGAGGATGCTCTGCCATCATTTCTCGTCAATCCTCAGTTCCTTCACCCAGCCATCGGAGCAGGTCAACAGAGGATTAGAGTCAAAGCAGATCCTGAAAAAATAGGAGAGAAAAATCAGCATGCCCAGCTCCATTCCCCAGGCATGTAGGTTGATGACTGCTTGCACTTTGCCCTACGTATTTCAACTTGGTGCACACGACAGGCAGACCAAAGGAATGGGAGTGTTTTTATTGCACTTAATTAGAGAATAAGTACCATTTGAATTATGGAACCTGGGCTCCAAAGTTGTGGTATAATTTTACTTATATATTTTGAGTCCTTATTACATTTTGTACAAACATTCATGTCCCCAAACCCTTTTTGGAATCATCCAAGAGAAGAATCTCCATGTGTCCCAATAGATGTTTATTTGACCTTGGGTTGCTATAAAGAGCAGTGCTATGTCCTTACTATAATTTAATATTGCTCTCTAATGTTTATATTATGAATTCTGCACATCTAGGAGCTCATAAGATGACACTGGAATTTGCAACTTAGTCCCATATATGTGGACTTGAATAGACTTGCAATATTAAGAAAATAAAAGATCTACTACAGTTAGACTCAGAAAAAATTATTGACTATGTTTGTCTTCTTTACTCTTTGTTTCTTAGTAGCCTAGAATAATAACCTTTAACATTTGAATAAAATGTTTATAAAGTATTTGCAAATATGTTCTCCCATTTGAGCTATCCAATGTCATGTGCATTAGAGCACGATCTCCTCAGAACACTGAGGTTCTGGTAGGTGGGCTAAGTTACTCAAGTTATTCAAAACTGCTAATAAGGGATAGAGCTGGGACACATAGCCACTCATTCATTCATTCACCAATATCTATGGAGTACCTATTACATGACGGGCGTGATGTTAGGTGCTGAAAATACAACCCAACCCCTGTCCTTCAAGAGTTTATTATCCAGGGGAGATGACAAATATATGCTAAAAACCAAATATTTACTTGTAGTCATCCTATAAACTGTGAAGGAAAAGCACAGTGAACAATAAGGGTATAGAGTAGGAAGCCTATATTCACCAGTTAATTGCAAGAAACTGAATCTGTTCTAGCTAGCTTAAAAGGAAAGAGATCTGTTAGAGGGTAATGATTTTATAGAGACTTCTGGGCGGACTAGTAAACCAGCTAGGATGGGGCTGCCAGGAACTATTACAGCAGTAGATGCATCTACTCCACAGAACATAGGCCTTATCCAGACCTCACTGCAAGGGAGTTTAGGAAATAGATGTTCGTTTGTTTAGCTTTCTAGCATTTGTCTATGGGAAAGGCCCCTGGGTGAGGCTTGAGGTGGGTGTTAGGCAGCCAATCCAGTGAACTGCCTCAAGATCCTAACCTAGTCTGGCGGCTATGGTTGACTTGCCTAAGACTTGAGCTCAGCTGACATTGGAAGATTGTGGAGGAGCTTGAGATGATTAGTGAAGGGACACAGGTCTGGAGGGAAAAACATTGCATGTACTGGGGACAGCCCTTTGGAAGGGTCCCAGTGCAGGTAGAGCTTTAGGCATTAGAACGGTTGAAAGAAGGCCAGGATAGCCAGAGTGTATCAAGGGAGGTAAAAAGGGGTCACAAAGGACTTTGAGAACAAAGTAAGTAGTTTTGAGTGCTTCCTAAAGCCAATGGGAAACCATTAGTGGGTTTTCATCATGAGAGTTACCTAGGTCCTCTGAGTCTTATTCTGTTAATCTTTTCCCTTCTCTTCATAGATCTTGTGATCTCATGGTTTCAGTAATCTCTAAATTCATTTCTGGACTCTTTGCAGAGAAAGCGAGCTATTCTAAAAGCTAGCTTGGCCAACCTATCTAGAGAGTGGCAGGCTGAGGGAAAGCCACGGACTGATCCCTACATCTGGCAGTTCAGCCTCTCTGGGGTGATACAGTAAACGAGGATCATGATTCAGAGCAAGGTGCTGAGACATGATTGCATTTCATGTAAAGCTTGCTGCAGACCATGGTCTGTGCTGGGCACAGGGTGGTGGTATCTCTGAGGCTCTCAGATTCTGTGACTACTCCCCATTCCCAGGATCACCTCTTGCTTGGTACGTTTGATTTACCATCTCCTTCTCCAGAGTGTGGCTAAAGTTGGCATCTTTGCATGCAGTGATGTGGGGATTGGCCCCTTCTCTAGGCTAGAGGCGAGGGCAGTTAATATCCATCTGGAAACTCAGCAGAGCTTGGCTCACACTAAAATCTCCCTCTGCTAATTAATAACCTACCAGAATTCTCACTGTCCCCTTTTAATAAATAGGATCTGGAACACCTTAAACAAATGACATCTAACCTATTATCCAAATTTTCTAAAACTCGGTTTTTTCATTTTTTACCTCTGAGTTCTTAGCTATGTCTAAGGAAATTCTCTTAGTATGCAAAGGCCATCCTGGGTACATATATTATTCGATAATTTCAAGTGAAAAGCATTCTTCCTTACTATTGTAAATTAATTCCTCTTTAATTTTATAAATCCAAACAGTTTTCTGATACTTCTAATTTTGTGGCGAATCTAATCAATAAAGTATAGTTAGTTCTGAAAGAAGTGGAAGTCTGCGACCATTTTTATTTTAAAATCCTAACAATTTCTTTTGGAAAATTTGCTAGAAGACAATTTGATGATACTCTCATAAATCAATGAAGATAGTTTTAAACACATTTAGCCCTACTAAATTGTCTTAAAATAGGTCAGTTATGTACCTATAAAGTATATGAAGGCAGAGACCGTTATATGTCCAGTTCACTGCTCTGTCCTCTCTGTCCTAGCAACTTATTCAATTATGTCTTGAATGAACAACAGCAGTTGTTCAGTACTGAGTATCAAGCCAGTAAAATTAGACCATATTTCTCTTTAACTAGGATATCTTTGTGAAGTTCTAAGAATCTTACACCTCCTAAATGGAATTACTTCTGGGGCCCTGAGAGTTTCAGGAGAAACTGTCACAGATATTTAGAGAAGTATACTCGACCTCCAGAAAGTACATTAGAAAAAAAAAGGCAAAGCAAAACATCCGCAGAAATAAAAGGTATCTATGTAGCTCTTTGTCTTCAGAGATGCTTTGAGACCCCAAAGATTTCTTCTTTAGGAAGACAACATCAAGGATTCATATCTCTTTTTAAAGCCATGGGGGAAATGCACCATGGTCAGTAGGAGTAGAAGCAGACTCCCTTGACCATGGTGGGTTTAGAGGCGGCAGCAGAATGGAGAGTTTGAATTGACAAGTTGTCTTGAATTGAGTCATCTGAGGGTGACCTGTCTCATCTTGCAGCAAGAGACACACCTGGTCTATAAATCCAATCCTAACAGATTTCTACAGGAATTATTGGAGCCTAGATAATATTCAGGATGGAATGAGATAACAAGTAGATAAATGAATGTAATTCATTATTCTGATCTTCATAAGTAATATTCTGTTGCTTTTATTTTTCTTCTGAAAAGAACTTCATCTCTGCCTATCACCTCCTGCTTCTAAGAGAGCTGTTTTATCAGCCCTGCGAATAAGATCATGGTATGTGACCAAATAACCAACAAACCCTCCAATACCTCTGGCAGCTATTGGAGTTTATAGGCAGTTTCCCTAGCTGGCAGGGATTGCTTCTGTGGGAAGTCTCTTGAGCTGCATGGGAATTTACTGGGGATTTTTTTGTGTGTGTGTTTGATAATGATATAGATAAATTCAGTCTCTTCTCCTGGCCTCTTACTCTCAGGCAAAAGAAAAATACAATCTTGTCCCAATTTGTCAGACATTTTCTTTTACTGAGACATAATATTCGCTTGAGACATAATTTCACTTCATTTGTTAACTATGAACAAATGCTCTTTTTGATTTATCATTTTTAATAAGGAAGTTGTATCATCGTCATTGGATGAATGAACTAACAAATTGTGATCCATACATACAAAGGAACACAACTCAGAAATTAAAAGGGGCAAACTATTAATTCACACAATCACATGGATGAATGTCAAATGTATTTTGCTAAAGTGAAAGAAGCCAGAACCAAAGGCTACATAATGCATGAGTCCATTTAGATGACATTCTGGAAAGGCAAAACTATAGGGATGGAAAACAGGTCTGTGGTTGCCAGGGACTGGGTCTGGGGAAGGGATTGACTATAATGAAGCAGCATAAGGGAATCTGGGGGGTAATGACACTATTCCATATCATGACTGTGGTGATGGATACACACCTCTATGCACTTATCAAAACCCATACACCACAAGGAGTGAGTTTTATTTTATAAAAAATAACAGGAAAAAAAGCTGTATAAAATAAATCTACAATGAAATATTATCAAGAAAGCAGGCAGCTTTATGTGTTGATCATTCCTTGTATAGAGCAGACTAGAAGACTATGGGTATATAAAGATACAGTCTACAGTAATGTTTCCCAAAGTGTGCTGTGTGGAACACAAGCATCCCTAAATACGTCACTGGGTGATGCTCAAAAAAAAGGGTTTCAGATTGCTCCTCAATGGAAGGATTCAGTGTCAAATGAATCTGGGAAAACTTGCATCCATAATCGCATTCCCCTTTTGGAAAGTTATGTTCTATATTAATATAGCAAAACACACAAACATAAGTGACAACTGCAGACGCAAACTTTAACTTAGTAGTTCTCAAACTTGATCGAGAATGGAATTCTGTTATTCATAAATTCCGTTATTCATAGAACATCAGTTAACATCTAATGGTCACAATTTGAGAAATGCTGATCTACAATAGAGTGGACATTTGACCACAGAATCACAGAATCTTAGTCCTAAAAGGAAGCTCTGGAGGGCCTCCTGTGTTTTGGATGGAGCACAGCTTAGCCATTTGTTGACAGAGGAGAACATATCCTACTTTCAAGCATGACCAGTTCCTAATTTCACAGGTGTTTTTTTTTTTCCTTGGTAATACAATCCATATTTATCAATTTTCTACATCACAATATTCTTCCTTAGCATAAGCCTAAATGCTTCTTCCTCTGATGTGTACATTTTCTCTCTCTCTCTCTCTCTGCACTTCCTACCCCTCCGACCTGTGAAATTTGGAAACAACTCCTTGCCATACGCTGTTATAACAAAGAGCTCATCTGGGAGAACAGTGGTGATCTCTGGGGATGCTCACAAGGATACCCTCCTTGTCTGGCACCGCTCTTAAAACAGAGGAGTTGATGCCCAGCTAGCATGCCCATCCTGTGTCCCTGTCCCCACTGTGGCCTCACAATTGATGCAGGTCTGCTCATAGACCCACCAGATCCTCTCTCCCGGGTGCAAGAGAGACAAGCCTCGGGATGATAATGATAGACTGGATCTCCTTAATGCCAGGGCCTGAGAGACGAGGTTTATGGTTTTGCCCTTCCCGACACTTGTTTCATTTCATTTGTTTGGTTCAGCTTTCATTTGCATTCAGTGGGTTACTCCAGTCTCTTCAAGTAAATTCCCTTTGAGCTAAAGTGGTTTTTATTACCTGCATCCCCCCAAAACTTTAGCACACTGGGAGAGACCCCGTATCTTCCAATATCTTATCTGCCTGGAGGCCACATGGAGCAAACACTGGCCGAATTCCGCACATTTCTGGAGACAAGTACTAGGGAAATGTGGATCCATTCCAATTTACCTGCAGATTAAGTACAAAATTGCATTCATGCTCTGGTTCTTCCCACTGGCCCCCTTCAAGTTCTTATTCCTGCACTTGGGGTCCGTCTCGCTTCCCTCTGGTTTCCAGGGACCTGGGAGGTTTTATTTAAATCCACCCTAGAGGAGAGTTCATTTCCAATTACCTCCCTTCTGTAAGTAGGATGGTCTCCACTAGCTGTGTTTCCTTGCAATTCCTCTTTTTTTCACTTTTCAGCCATTTCCAGCTTCTCTGAAATCCTCTTGCTGGCTCTTCCCGTGACACTAAATACTTTAGGAGGTGACTGAGTCATGTGGAGATATGCATGGAGTTTTCTGGTATGGAGTCGAAGAGAGGCCTTACTTTTATCTTGACATCTGGATAGGCGCATTTAACTAAACTATGCATTTTGGAATGGTTCCAAAGCACCTGAGGACAGTCACAGTACCTCTGAGGTTTGCAGTAATGCAAAGATTTATATGCAGCATTTACCCCATGCTGGTTCAGAGTGTTATTCTTTTTCATCATTGATTTATACACTTGCTCCAAGTTTTTCCAGTTGTAGGTGGGATCTCCGTGTCAGTCTCTGCACATATGCGGCTTGGAAAACACCGCTTGTCTCCCACAGCCCTGCAGTGCCCGGCACAAAACCAGGCAGAGGAGTAGCCACAAGGAACTATCTCCGAAATATTCATCGTCCTTGCAAAGGTGAGAACAGAGCAGCCGAGTATGATCCCAGGGGCTTCCTGCATTGTATTATCAAGCATTTTGGTATTTCACAGTTTCCAGAAGAAAAACACTCTCACACACAATGAAACTGCTTTAGACATGACCAAAGCTTTATAAGGAAACTTTTTTTTTTTTTAATTTAAGTAATTTGAGGTCAGTGTTCTTAAGTCCCACTGCCCACTGTAAAGCTCAGATCTCCCCGGCTCCGCTGGAATGTGCCTTCTGCCCTCAGCCGCCCCCACAGCCAGGTGAACTCGATTCATGTTTTTGGCAATGTTGGCAGGTCCTGGCATGGCAGCCCTCTCTGAGCCTCTCCATCTGATTCTCACCTCCCGTTCCTCCACCAGGATGAACAGAGAAAGCCTCATAATTCTGCCAAGGATCATATATTGGAACTTGGTGGGAAATTACCAACAGCATCGATTTCATCTTTGAATTTTGCTTGAGTATTTAAGTGGTAGGAAATTATACAAATAGATCAAGACAAACAATCAAGGACATTTGGGGGAAATATTCACTCTTTTGTATGCACAGAGCCCAATTATAGGATGCTTTCGGAGCTTGTAGACAGGCTCGGCCAGGTGTCCTCAATACCATTCGTGTGTCATCCCCATGCCAGCCTGGTTTGCCCAGGAAGCCGGATGGGACACTCACACCCCTGATTATGATTTGAGGGGAATTATGATTCCCCTCCGTCTGCAAGGCTGATGGGCTTCAGGCCCTTTCTGGATCATTTGCCCCTCTCTGGGGTAAAGGTAGTGCCAGAGAGGTGTGGTGGCCGAGAGGACCATCTTCCCTGCACCTTCCCTAGACCCCAGACTATTCTGGATACTGCTTCGCCGTGTTCTCCCAGTGCTCTACACCCTGAGTGAGGCCTGTGCACTTGTTGGTCTTCCTGATGACCCTGAGCCCTTTGTAGACTGGGCTGTCAGTTCTTTGTATGACTAATGCTTGTCCTAGGTAGGTACTTACTCATCATTTGTTGAATGTTGGCCTCTCCAAGCATACTTGGCCAGCTCCATCATTTAGCTTTATGTATTATTTGGGATTGGATTATTGCCTGTGCCCCTCAATGAAGAGAAAACACCCTCCTGTTCTCTGAGTCCCAGAATAGCTGCTCTCTTCTTCCTCGAGGGCCCGTAGGGACTGAGCAGCAGAGAGAGAGAGAGAGAGGGTCAGATTATGAACGACAAGCATCCCAGCTGAGAGCTCCTACCTGAAAACTGTTCTTTCAGGGTCCATTAGGCTCTGACCTTGAACTGGTGGCATCTCTTTGATATTAAGGGTGGAACTGAAAAAATGGAAAAGAGAAGGTAATATATCAGAGAGAGCCCTGGACTCCCCACTTAACTGTGGGGTTTTTTTTTTTTTTTTTTTTTGGATAACTCGTACGGACCGAGCGCTGGCTATGTGCCAGCCGACGGTGAATCCCATTAGAACACGGTCTCATTGAATCCTGACAAACCTCTGAAATCACCATTTCTTCCCCTTTTTTGCATATAAACTGAGGCGAAGGGAGAGTAAGAAACTTCTCCAAGGTGACGCAGTAGGATATTTCTATCCCAGAGCTAGGATCCAGGTCTGAGGATGAACCCCAACAAGGTGCTTTCACGCCTGACCCTCATCCCCTTTATGGCAAAGGGTGGCTACTGATAAGCTACATGACGTCGGCCAGGCCATTTAACTTCTCTGAGCCTCAGTTGACTGGAACGAAATTTAGGAATGGCAAAACCTAGTCACAGGATCCTCAGGAGGCTTAAACGAGGTGACGTATGAAAGCAGGAACAGCAGAAGCATGATCCTGGCGCACGGGAGGCATTAAATACAAATGCTTTTTCACCTCCTTAGAGCGGACTATGCCTTAGGCACTCGGGAAACTGACTGAGCGATAAATCGGCTGGCGGGGAGGGGGGGACGGAGGCAGCAGGACTCTGCTGGGCTGCTGTGGAGCCGGAATGGGCCTGGAGATGGCTTTTCCTGACATTTGGGAGGCGTTGGTGGGGGGAGGCGCACACACGTGTGGGTCAGAGGGTCTGCAGGCTGCTCGGGAGTGATTTGATGATGGCCCATTGACTATACAACCATCGCTGCCCACCTGCTTCTCCCACTCACAAATCTGCCGTTAGGGTGGAATGGATAGGTGTGTGTAAACAACCGTGCATGCACGTGCGTGTGTGTGCAGGCGTGTGTAGACCACATTTTTCCATCATCAGCAGCAAGATTCCCTGGTTGGGGACATTCGATAGCTTTGATGTCACTGAACTCATTACTTTCTGCTAGACATGAATTCTGCATAAATTTAAAAAAATTAATTCAAGTTCAAACAGAGGAAACTCCTGATTTCACTTCCCCCCTCACCCAGGGACTGGGAAGGAGTAGACAGGACACGTTAACCCACTGTTTTGCTCCAAGCTGTGCTGTTATCACCTAGAACAACACCCTGCCTATAGCAGCGCCCCCCCCACACACCCTTGCACCTGCTTGTGTAATGAATCTGAGGGTCAGAGCAACAGCCGGGCCCCTTTCCCACACTGTCATTAGAATCCCCTTTCGAGAACACATCTACCACTGCTGCATGTCCTGGCTCATGCCTCACTCAATCACTAGCAGCTTTCCCAAAACCCACACACTATCTTGACTATGAGACTGGACGTGAGCTGTTCTTTCTTCCTCAGATGCCCTCACCACCGTCCACTTACCAAACCCCTATTTATTCTTTTTAAAAAAGATTTATTGGGCGCCTGGGTGGCTCAGTCAGTTGAGCGACTGCCTTCGGCTCAGGTCATGATCCCAGGGTCCTGGGATCGAGTCCCACATCGGGCTCCCTGCTCTGCGGGGAGCCTGCTTCTCCCTCTCCCACTCCCCCTGCTTGTGTTCCCTCTCTCGCTGTGTCTCTTTCTGTCAAATAAATAAATAAAATCTTAAAAAAAAAAAAAGATTTATTTATTTATTTTAAAGAGAGAGGGAGAGTGTGGGGGAGGGGCAGAGGGAGAGAGAGAAGCCCAAGCAGACTCCCCACTGAGAGCAGAGCCCTACACGGGGCTCGATCCCAGGACCTGAGATCAGGACCTGAGCCAAAATCAAGGGTCAGATGCTTAACTGACTGCCACCCAGGTGCCCCTAAACTCTTATTTATTCTTAAGGGCCCAGTACCAATGCGACCTCATTTGTGGAATTTTCCCAGTCCTACCCTCATAGACTAAGGGATTCCTATTTCCTCTGCCCCTGAGGCACTTTGTATCTCCTTCTCTCCAAGTGCTCGGTTCTGTTACTGATGATGCTGTGATGATCTTCTGTTGGTTTCTTCCACTTGACCATCACCTCTCAGAGGACTGGGAGCCTCTTTGTTTTTCCTTTCCCTCAGGCAATAGCTACAGATACTTAAGGAAACTGTTGAATGAGTAAATGAAAAACAGCCACCAAAAGGCAATGAGTTAGGTTGAAAATGTAACGAACGGGGATATTATCGAAGAGAACATATGAAACAAATTACATAAGTCAAGTGGCTACCTCTGTTGGTCTTCTTTGTTCACAAACTCTGATGAAAAGAACATATACTCGAAGGAATTCCTCTTTGCTCTGTACATAATAAGGCCAAACAAACAACTTACGGTTTAGGAAAGCTAATTATGGGCCAGTCACAAAAGCGAGTCATGGCTTTATAACTCAGACCCACCCTAAACAGAGGAGGACAGAGGAGAGTGAGATTAGACCGTGAGCCTCTCCCTAGTTCTGTTATCAGAAGGAAAAGGCCGAACTGTTAGTAAAGAGAGACTATCAGAGAAAAGATAGAGTTAAATTGAGGAACCAACTTCTATTCAGAAGTTTCTGAGCAATGATTAGACAAATAATACTAATGTCTAAAGTTGTGTGAGGTGTATAGGACTTGGTACCACATCCATTTATCCCCTCCCTCTTCCCAGATTGTACAACTCAAAATCGTGCTAATTTCTACAGAGGCCAATACCTACAGTGAATGTGAGCCAGCTCAAGTCCTGGGACCCTTGGAAGCTGCTATGGTTCATTCACACCGAGTTGGGAACATTGACCTAAGGCTGAGCCCTGGGGCCAAGGAGGCCCCTCTAGACCTGCAGGAAGACAAATAGTAGACCAGATGTCCAGACATTAGCACGCACACACACACAGACTGGGTGTGGGATTGAACTGCATCCCCCCGTGGACTCCTATCAAAGGAGTCAAAGACAGCTTAAAGCTGAGCAGATCCTAATTTGTCCATATGTCTTTGAGATGTGACTATCTTCCTCAGCTCTCTGGCAGCTTGCCCGGTTCTCGGAGGGAAACTCAGTTGGCCAGAGTTCACCTGGGTTTATCAGTCCCCCAGGGGAATCTGTTTTCTCTGTGTGCTTCTTTTGTTATTCTGCGGGAACTGGGTCAGCTTTTCAAGAGTGGAAATGTCAGAGGAATAAAGAGGCTCCCTTGAAAAGATCTTTTCCACCACAGAAAGGAAACATCTCAGCATATCCCTTAAATAACAACATACAGCGTGACAGCCTTGCTTCCGACCCAAAGAAAGAAGAGAGGCCGAGAACAGTGGGCAACATTTACACACCCCCCTTTGCTGGGGAGACAGCTGGGCTGGGGCTGGGTCATCCCAAACACTGAATTAAAGGAACGGAAACATCAACTCTGTGGAATCTTTCGCATGGCAAACGAGGTTAGAAAACAAAGGAAGGCTTTCAGCAAAAGCCCGATTTTTTATATTGCAGAGCGCTTGGAACGTAAGGCTACTGCCCTGAGCGGCAGGAATCCGACTCCTGGGGAGAAGCCCCATCCAGGCCGTTGTCTCCCGCAGACCCCAGCAACAAACAGAAGGGCGTTGTGCAGGGCAGCGAGCTGTGGCTGCTGCCGGTCCCGTCCATCGCTCTAGAAAGATGTCACCGTTGGTGAAATAGATTTCACCCTATTGACCAGGCTGCTAGGAAGATAAATTTTCCCACGGTCTGGCTGGAAGAATCCTAGGAAACCTTTACCATGAGCCCACCTGCATTGTGGAAATGGGCATTCAAAAGACGCAAGCCGGATTCACAACATAGATATGCCAAGCCTCTTCCCTATGACAACATCCCTCATAGTGTCCCCAAGTGTAGCAGCATCCTCAGCCAAATACACCATCACCCAAATAATCAGCACCCTGTAACAAGCTGAATTGATTTTTTTTAAGGATTTTATTTATTTATTTGAGAGAGAGCAACAGAGAGCCCAAGTGGGAAGGAGAGGGAGAAGCAGGCTCCCCACTGGGCACGAAGCCTGACACGGGACTCGATCCCAGGACCTGGGGATCATGACCTGAGCTGAAAGCAGACACTTCACTGACTGAGCCACCCAGGTGCCCCAAGCTGAACAAAAAGTCCTTGTGTGTCAAGATTCTTCCAAAGCCTTGGTGGCGGGGACTCTGCTCAAAAATGTCCATGTCAGCAACCCCCCCCTCCATGCCCAATGTCAATACATCAAAGATCAAGCAAACACCAAGATTGCATAGACAGAGCAAATAAGGGGGAAGTAAAGAATCTTAACTCCAGTTAAATTCTCTGAGAGATAAAAGGGAATTGCAGGAAGTCCTATCAAATCCTGGGAGGCCGATCTGAGATTATAGCCACAGACTTTTGCCCCTGGGCTCCTTCACCCCCCATTTGTTCACCTCCTTTCAAGACACCTCATCATTGCCTCTTCTTACCCCAGGTTGTATTAATCATGGATGACGTGCTACTGTTTCAACAGCTGACTCTCTGAGCACCCAAGGGGTGTTGCTCGAACTGGGATTCGTGTAAGAATTAGCTGAGGTGCTTTTCAAAGGGAAAGATTCTGGGCTGAGCCCTTAGGATGGGGTAGGACCAGCCCATCTCAGATGGCGCAGATATCTGGGGACTTTCACAGAGGAGCAGGAGATCCATCAGAATTAGATCCAATCTGGAGGCAGAGTGAGGGCTGGGAGATAGAACGGCACAGAGGTGGCTCTTCCAAAAAGAATTCCATGTGATTCTCATATGATCTTTTCTTCTGCAATTCCCTCTCCCCATTTGAGAACACTGGGACTTTGTTTGGATTCAAAATGCCTTGGACTAATCCTGGCTCTGCCACTCATGAGCTCCCGTGGTCTTGACATCACTGTATTGGCCTGGATGTCCCTATTTCTAAAATAAGAGCATTAGTCGGTTCAGTGGTTGTCAACCATCACTGGGCATCAGGACCCCCCGGGGAGGCTTTATAACACACAGGTGCTGGCCCCCATCCACAGAGAGTCTGACCTGGTGCCTGGCATGGGGCCCTGGC